CGCGAGAGCAGAGGCGCTGAAGGTGTGCAATTGTACATCTCGGAGTGAGGATTTGTGTATCCTCCGTGCCTGTTGAGGGGATGAAAAGGCGCAGTGGCGATAGGCAGGCGGAGATATTTGTTCTGGCGGCACGATGGGCGGCTGGGCCGGGCGGTGGCGGGGCTGTGCAACCAGCGGCCCGCAGCTTGCAGAGCAGGCGGTGGGCATGCTCCCTTGGACACGGCGCGCCCGGAGGCGCGCCGTGTCCACGCTGTACACGTTGCAAACGGATCCCGGAGCCGGTTTGGGAATGGCGGGACGCGTCGGCACCGGTGGGGCGGGAGAGGCGCCACTGGTGCCAATAATGAAACGGATGGACGGTACGTATGAAGGGCCGTTTACTGTGGACTGTAGTACTGCACTGTTCCGTATCTTACACTCCGCTCCGCGAGCCGTTCACAGCTGCGGAGGCGATGGCGCGCCACGTACGACGCACGGCGCATGCCTTCTATACACGTCTTCAGCCTGGATTGACAGCCTGTGAGCAGAAGGGTAGCCCAGAGCAACATTCTATATTATTGTGCACCCTGAAGTTGCATCTCTCCTTACATCGCTGCGTGTCTGCGCATCGCCCCCGCGTCTTCGATGCGCCTCCCTCCCCCTCCATGGAAACTCTTCCCCCCCCGCTGCTTGCGGCGCGCGAAGTGCTCACTCCATTGGTGCAACTGGTGCTAGCCGTCGTCGCGCTTCTCCTCACGGCGCTGCTGGTGCTGTTCGAGTCGCGCCTACGCCCCACTCCCCCGCGCCTGCTCTCCTCCGTCGTCCCCCCTCCTCCGCCGCCTCTCAAGCGCCGCGCCCGCGCCCTGCTGGCCGTGCTGCGCTTGCTGCTCGCTGTGACAGTTGCCGCCTCGCTCTTGCTCACCACGCTCCCTGCCATCCGCCTCATCTCCGGGCCGCCGCTCGCGGAGCTGGCCGATGACCCGGTCAACCGCTGGGCGCACGCCCTCGTCTCGCGCGCTGTGCTGGTGCGCGCCGCCGCGACGGAGGATGCATTGCTGCCCACGCGCGTAGGGGTGGGGAAACGCGCAGCCGCCGCTGATCGGGAGAGCGCGCCCAAGCTGCTGTGGGCGCTGCTGCTGTTGCTGGTCGTCGCCGTCGCCCTGGCGGGAACCGTCGCCGCCGCCGTGCCGCACCGCCTGCCGGCGAAAAACGCCGTCGCCGTCATCATGTTCGTCCAGGCCCTGGTGTGGCTCGTCGCCGCCGTGCCGGCCACGCTGGTCAGACCGACAAGGCTTCCGCTAGACGGAGCCCCCTTGCTAAGACACTGGATGGATAGGGAGTACATTCGCGAGCCGAGAGATATTAACGAGACTAGGTTTCTCGCCAACTGGTTCGCCGCCGTGCCTGGCGAAGATGGGACTGAGGCGAGAGTCGTTCCGCTGGCCGATGTCCGCGGGATGGAAGACGCGTTTTGTAAGGAGTTCATAGACTTGGCCCCCAAGACTGCGAGTGAGGTCGTCGTCGAGGCCTCAGACGATGCCACCACCACCCCGCCCTCCACCACAACTGTCTCCCCGACAACGACCGCGGAGCAGGTGCAGGGGGATGACACCGACGCTGAGCAGGTCCCGCCATCTACCGCCGCCCCGTCTACAACCGTCCCGTCAGGCACGACTGGCGTGCGCCCGACGCAGAGACGCATCCACGCTCCTGTTGCCGTACGTCAGCAGGAAGCGGATGACGACGAGGACAACGACGAGGACAACGACGAGGACAACGACGAGGGCAACGACGGGGGGGATATCGCCGCGCAGGTGCCCAGCCCGGATTCGATTGAGATCGAGTCGCTGTCCGCCGAGCGCTTCGCGGAGGTCATATTGGTGTATTTGGTCGGCAAGCCGATCGGCCGCGACCAATACCGCATTTTGTCGTACACGGCTCTTGGAGCGATGGCGGGTGCCCCGGTCGTGGTGGGCCAGTTTTGCAACATCTGGCTGCTGTACCCACTTGTTGCCGTGTGGGCCGCTGTGTCGTTTGTCATCGGGCTGCTGGCGACGTCGTCCGTGCTTCGCGTCCTCACGTCGCCACGGGAAGGGAAGCAAGTGTTCTCAATGTGCGGCCGTTATTACTCCGTGCTCGTAGGAGATAGCACGACGAGGCTCATCGGGAGACTAGACGCGGCATTTTTCGCAGTCGTGCTCTTGGTGGGCCTACTGCAAGGGTTTCGATGGAGGCGCCTGGCGGATCGATGGGTGGTCGCAAAAGCCCCAAAGGAGGCTACGACGGTTAGCGCAGAAGAAAATTACACCGAGAGTGGCGCACTTAAGTGGTGAAGGACATCAGGGCCAGGTCGCATCCTGCGTAGGCAATGCTCCAGGGAGGTATTGAATGTTTCTTCACATGGAGTAATATGGCATGTTGTGAAAAGCGTCGAGTGGCAGCAAAGTTTGTATGTACCATAGTGCAAATATTCGCGCCCTGAGGTGTGACGGTTAGTATTATTGTCTGAATGCGTATTGTAGCAAGTAACTTGACTGTAAACACGATAAGCAAGCCGTGGAGTCAGCTCACTATGGTACAGTTTGATTCTATATTGTCTTCTACAACACATTTCCTTCCCATGCAAAAACGCATTCCGAGATGAAATATGATTTTCTTGCTCTCCCGTTTCTTCTTTATTTACACTTCTTCTGCACTAACGAACGAGTCTGACCCACTCCCCGAATTCGAGCTAATCGGTGAGGACCCCGTCCCGTTTCCGTTTCCATTCGCAAGGTCATACTTGGCCCTTAACATTCTGTAGTCTGCCGTCGTATTCACGGAGATCTCATTAAAATACGGACACTCAAAGGTTTTGATAACGTACCCATGTTCCAACACCTTCATCTGCTCGACATCTTCCTCAATCTGATGCTCTGTATCTTCGAGCGCATTGTATTCCTCAATGCGATTTCTGTTATAAACGTATAATCCAGTGCATGAGAAGTACTTTGTGCTTGCACTCACCTCCCCGCCCTTGTTCCACGGTACTACGTTCCTCGTGAACAACATTGCATTGTTCCTTTTGTTCACGATGATTTTCACACAGCTCGTCTGCTGAAGGTACTCCAAGTCCTCAATCTGCTGGTGCAACGTGCTGAAGAAGATGTCCTTGCTCTCCGTATTCGCATCAGCGTGCGCTTCGATATGCTTCGATATGACATAGTCCACGTTGCGCGGGTCGACAAAGGGCTCGTCCCCCTGAATATTCACGATGATACGAAATTGTTCCGGAATGTGCTCCAAGTTTTTCCCGATGCGTTCTGTGCCGTTACGCGTCTTCACCCTTTTGAGGATTATTTCCGCACGGTCGCCAAATTTCACCCCGCTGAGAAAGTTCACGACATGCTCGTGGTCCGTAAGGATAAATACCTTTGATATTAGCTTGCATTCTAGCGCTTTTCGACATGTTCGTTCCAGCACCGATTGACCTCCGATGTTGAACAACAACTTTCCATGCAGGCGCGCGGATGCATACCGAGCCGGGATGCAAGCGCAGATATTTCTCGAAGTAATGTCGCTGAGCGACATTCGTACTGAACAAGAAGGAATGAGGAGCACTCTTGCCCAGATTCAGGAGGGACAAGAGAGACAAGTTTTGTTAGCTGCTTTGGAGAAGCTGCTAACAAAACGTTAGGGTCAGCAGGAAGGGGGATGGCGGTACAATGGTCCCGTCTATTCAGAGAACTAAAAGTACTGCGGTTAGCAGTGAGTATAGTTGAAAGTATGAGACTCCTGCGAATTCACCTGGCACATCAAGGTAAGGATGACCCCGGAAATTCTCACCGGCGTTGAAACTGTTGATACCCCGAACTTACTACTATAGAAAGAAAACACTGGGCCGCGCCAAAGGAGAATGGAATTCCCACTGTAAAGACATACATAAAGGGGGATAGCAAGTGAGGCCGTGTAGACCCAGAGACTGTATCGGATTCCGTAATAATACGGCCTCATTTCAGAGGAGAATTAATTTCACATCCTTGCGAAAAGTTTTCTGCCGTTTCAAGTGACTAGTCATCTCGTTGGGCCAACACAGTGGAGATAGTCAAGTCATGAATAGTGCTAGGTTTTGTCTTTTCATGCCAAAGTGCATATTCGACGCATTGTGTTTGGTGTGTCTGTACCAGTAGACATCTTCTGTGTCCATTGAATGCGCTAAGCCAATATAGATTTCCCCCGAATTGTATTAAAATACATCCGAACGCTGTCGGCGGGTTGCGATTCAATCAAGTTGGTCTTGATACCGCGTGGATCTGATTTCAAGCATTTGGAGAAGCACTATATGGACTCGTTTCAAGTTCGGCGACCGTAAGCCAGACGACCACTGGACGGCTCTATGCCAATCTCAGTTGGGAGAAGTTCAGTCGCATTACGATTTACCTCTCGAGGTAGCAGCCAATTCACAAATGCGTAGTTATGATAACTCCCATGTGCCAGTGACGTGGTGAAGGGTTAACAGGCCAATAGGATCTCGTTTTTAAAAACGCTTCGTGGATCGCGGTGGATCGCATTACGGCAGCTAGCTATTGACTAGATTCTTTTCTCTTCGTCAAATTCGTGTTCTAAAATTCATCACAGTTAGGGAAATCGGCAGGCGAATGCTGAAACTGCCGAAGTGTCATACTGTCCATTGTAATCCATGACGTTCTTGCAATACTATACTAGGGCTCTAGAGTTGGGTTATCCATGTCTTTACGACATATCAAGAACCATTGACTCGTTACTCTACCATTATTATTGCTGCGTCTACGTTTCTACTCTGTTTCCATTGTACTCTCGCTTCTCCATTGCTGATTCGAAAGTTGCAAAATAATAATTTAAGAATTCATGGTCGCCATAAGCAGTTACGATAGGCGTCTTGAAAGTGAAGAAAGTCAGCCTCGCAGTAGAATCATACCAACTCTAGCATTCTTTTTTCTTAGGACTGTCTATGAAACGATATCATGTCAACCTGAAATTGTCAAAGACGTAGGCCAGGCCGAGAGCGAATTTGACCTCGCCGAGCAATGGGGACAGCTCCTATTCCGCTGCAAAGGGTTCGGTGCACATTCGAGATAAAATACTGCTGCCCATCGAGGGAGTATGCCACCATCTTGAGCCTTGCGGACAGTGCGACGGGACTTTACGCCAGACCCCATCGTCCAGATGCAATCTTTCGCTCTAAAGATTTGTGCTTATCCAATCGTATCAACTGGAAGAAGTCATTGGGGCTACTTTTTCGTCCTACACGAATTACATCAATACAATTGCTTTCGTAAGGAGTACAAAAGAAAATTTAAATGTGTTCAATGTGACTTTGTCTATCCCTGTTTATTAGGGCAGGTTAGACCACAAGCCTGACTTCTCAGATTTGAGTATTTAAGGTCGCCTCACTGCCTCTATTTGATTTTGTTTGATGTGAAGAAACGGTCCTCATTTGCCATTGATTTGGAGCTGGTGATATACTCAACCCAGGGAAATGGCCACTTCGAATAGTTTCGTTTCTTTGATGATGCACAAGCGACAGACTCTCGGTTTTCGCAGTATGCTTCATTCGAAAAAAGGCTTCCCATGGCTATTTCTGATATCAACCTAGACATGCGCTGTTCGGAGAATCTAAAAATTGAAGAGTTTTGATTTCCAATAGCGCTATTCAAACCTCCAAGAGGACTCTTGCGCTCTGGGAAGACAGGAAGCTGCAGGAGAAGTCTTTTTTCTGCTTCTACTCGGGCCTTTTTGTACCATTTCCCTCTTTCTTCAACACACGCACTCTCTCTTATCAGTAGATCGCTCAGATTTCGCATCGGGACGCCTTTTCGGGGGCGTCCTCGACGGATTTTTTTCAAGAAACTGCATAAATCTCGACTCCAATAGTGAATGAGGTGAATGGGAGGTTCCATGCCATGAAGGAGTCCCCACTTGCAATGAAGTTTCTTCATAGGGCCGCTAAAACGGAAACCTTTGTGTATAGCAACATCCTGTTTCGGGGTACGTTCCAGATCGACAAATCGAGGCTGCAAGATCATTTTTCGGAGAGCCAGCTTCTTGCTGTTGTTCTCCCGAGTCTTACATGTGTTAGGGAAAGACTCATGAATCGTCTCACCCTGTTTCAGCGGTTGAATTCTGCCATTGGTAAGCGCCGTTTTCCATCGAACACACAACACGGGAGTCATCTCGTGAGATTTGAGTACATCGTGAAGAAAGGCATGATGTAGCTTTCTATCTTCTGAGTGGTCAAAGAATGAAGAAGAGGATGTTTCGAAGAACTCATCGCTGTCAATCAAGGCCACCCATTTCGATGACATGCCAAACTTTTGAACGCAATGTCGATACATTCTCATCTGTACGTAGTTTTCAGGATCCTCTTCATCGCTTGGAGCTTGTCTCCCGTGCTCAAGATATGTGACAATCCCATTGAAAGCTTGAAACAAAATCTTTAGACGTTGCACTTCTGATGGGTCGCTATCATCTCCATAAATGAAGAAGTGATCTACTCCGGCAAGATAATTTCTCACCAGAAACTCTCCAAGAATATCGCTTGACTCGCGTACGATGACACATGCCGAAAGGTAATGTCGAAACTCGAAGTCAGCTACAAGGTTTGAAGACCGCGATGATTTCAGATTTGAAACGATTGATGGTCGCTTCAAAGCAGGTATAGTCAGGTTAATTGCAAGAGAACTCAAAACAAGATATAGCCCCAAGTATCGGAGAGATACAGAGCCGCATTTTCTGGTCGCGCGGTTTAAATTCCATACACGCATTCGCCACCACATGCAGGACATGGAGCGACAAAGTCGGCTGCCTCATTCCGACCGAATGCCGACCTAGGGATGTGTGACTGCTCCTGATCACTGCGTATGACGAGTTGCTGAGCGAAAGCTATTGTCTCCACTGTAGCGCAGCAAGTGCTTTTAGTTCTTCACAATAATGGGCATGAAAACGGGTCATTGATGTTTAAGTGCACTGAGTAGCTTTTGCTCCAGATTAGAGCAGTCGTATGTAGAGAAGAAGTTTAAATTCATATGCGGGCCCGTAAATATTTAAATGTCCTTGACAGGTTTATGTCCCGCGAATTGTGACATGGCGGTTCATTCATCCATGTCTTCCTTCGTAGTTAAAGGAATCCTACCAGAAGTTAGCTGCACTGGATGGACTACTATACCACATCTCCAGTTATATGAAAGGGGCATATATAGTCTCATTCGTGAGTTCCTCGATGCAATCAGCTAGAGGCACGGAGGATTAATGGAAGTCAAATATGTCCGACTTCTTTCCCGGTCTCCCTAATCCGAATCCCTTAGGGCCCAAAACTGCAGCCCAAAAATCTTTTCCATACTTCCTGGCTACAAGAACAGTACCTGACTCGTCGGAAGGACGTAATGAGGAAATAGAGGCAGAAAGATGTCGAGATGTTGAATCATTCAACAAAGCGGTTGCTGGGGTCTTGGATTGTCGCCTATTTTGTTTGCAATCCGGTCGCACCGGGGCCGATGCGGAAAAAAAGACCACGCAAATAGATTATTTTCCGCCGTCTCATACAATTTCAAAAGCTTTAACCATGTTTTCCTACTAGTGAGAAGTACCAGAGGATGGTATGGCCACGAAGTAATTACTCCGTAGAGCCCTTGTTCTTTTTGACATTCTTTGACACGTTCTTAGACTTTGACCATATCCTACAAAGATGCCAGCCCCGGTTATTTCTCTCCACTATTCCATAATAGAGTGATAATGAGCTTTGTTTCGCGCATGCCCTTGGTACCAAACACGATATTCAACCCTAAGTTTTCTACAAAGCGATGGGAGGCAACTTGAATACTCATTGGGTTCAATTTTCGAGGCACTGACCATCTCCAAGGTGCAATGCAACCCTCATTTGCAGTAGTTATGTTCTTTGGAGGTGATCAATATTCCGTTTTGGCCAAGGACAGTGCGTCTGGTCGGCATATTTCATTGATTTGTGAAGCGTTGAATCTGCATGCATACAGACTATCTATAGGAAGCGTTGAGGTTGCGCTGTAGACATGATGAGCTTACAGGTCAATACTAAGACGACAAATTGCTCAATCACAATCAAGCTGCAATTTGTGGGGTGCACTTGTTAATCTCTGACGGACAACGGTATCTACAAACGCTTGCACATGTCTCTAGGAAGAAGAATTGTTTTCGAAGAAAATACTAATGTTTACGGCATGAATGAAGGACTCGAGCAAATGGATACACAGCCGGTGAGCAGAGCGGAACTGGACTTTAGCCATAGAATTTTAATCGCCTACGACAGGGGTTGGCAAAAACAATTCCTTTTCATGAGAAGTGGTGAGAAGTGGTACCAAAGGCATTCTCTTCTTTACACTTTAACAATCCCTACATCCATGAGCGGGAAAACTTGTGGAGGCAAGAATGGATATATGGGACGTATTGGCCGCAAAGTTAATGGTATGCGGTCATGGTATTGTACTGTCGTTCCATTCGCCTTGACACTGCAAAGGTTGACTCACGAACTGATGGCGTCATGTTTTCTCCCGACTAAGAAAAGGATTCGAGGAAATCGATCACCTTCATTTGCTTTTTCGCAAGTTAAGTATCTCTAGCCATTTTGTCGGAGTTTCGTCGAAGGCACGAAAAACATGAGTTCTTCACGATTGAAGACTACCCGAGTCACACCGTCTATGGAGCATCATTATTCAACAAGCGCTACGTGGCGCCAACTGCAGACATATACAGTATACTTCGGTTCATATCAAGTTGTTTTAAGCGTTCATCTGTTCTGAAACACAAAAAAAAAAAAAAAAATTGTTGCAGGAAAGTATTTGAGACACATCTGACTGACTGATGGGCCTGATCCAGATCAATTTTATAGCCGACTGGATTTATGCCAGACAGTTGTTCTGTATTTTTGTTTATGAAGACTGCATAGAAGTGGCATTACTTGTCTATAAGGGAAAGCCGCGCTTCAACAATTACGGGCGGTGTCTGTGGCGTACAGCTTCAGACTTGTATAATAAATTGCACTTCGTACCAACGTAAGAGGGCTGACACCCCCTACGAGAAATCAAGCCGTCGTCCTCCCAAAGCGCGAGCAGTTTCACTCACGACTGGTTTTGAGCCCTGCTCGCCTTCGCGACTGTCATCCATGGAATCCTCTCCATTCCCATTGGCGGTTCCCTGGTCTTTCACTGTGCTTCCGCTTTTAATCTTAGCAAGCAAAGTAGCTGCGTCGCATGCTGCCGGGTACTCGAGTGAAAAGTAGGGATGCTTCAACGCTTCTTTTGCAGATATTCGCTTAAGTGGATCGAGGTACATCATTTTGTCCAGGAGATGCAAAGATTCTGGTGATGAAGCCGTAAACAGTATTCTATGGTCCGGCTCCGGTGTTGGTGTGAATTCAACGTAGGCCGGTAGAGCGTCATGGTTTGGCCAGTCCTCCTTGCTCGGGGTACCTCGCGCCTGAAAGATTTTGGCTAACTGGTCAATGTCCGAATCCCCAGGCAAATACGGCATTCGGAGCATCAGCTCGGCAAAAATGCACCCAACAGACCACATATCGACCGCCGGACCGTAAGTACGTGCTGCATAGAGTAGCTCCGGCGGTCTATACCACCTCGTGATAACTTGATGAGTGAGGCGGGACTTCGGGGATGCGTGAAGGCGTGCGAGACCGAAATCAGCAATCTTGAGTTGACCGTCTGCACCGACCAGGATGTTGCTGGGCTTGAGATCTCGATGGAGGATCCATTTCTCGTGGCAGGCGTCAATCCCGTGCAGGATCATCTTCATACAACATTTCACTTCTGCTGGAGTTAGGGCAATAGAGCGATCACGAATGACAAGTTCTAAATCCGTGACGCAAAACTCGATTACCATGTTCACATTGTTAGTGCCCGCGAACACATCCACAAGGCCCTGTTTTATGACCAAGGAAGGATGTCAACGTCAGGTTGGGAGTTACGACCGAAGGGACAAGTTGGGTACAATGCAGCATTAGCAAGTGTGTGAACGTACAATGACATTGGGATGCTTCAACTCCTGTAAAAGCTTAATCTCTCTCAACGCTGTCACAGAAATGCCATCCTTGTAGTGTCCCTGAAAATTACCAAATGCGTGTGATTGTTAGCAATTGTGCTTCGGCAGCGCGTGCGACGGATGTTCATGGGGGCTAATGCCGTACGTAAAAGACCTTACCATCCTAATCTTCTTAATGGCGACAATGCTGTTAATATCATCTCTTTTCCTCGTTCGGTCGCGTGCCTTCGAAACAATACCTATGGAATTCGGTAGGACAAAACAAAACAAGTTAGACTGTGGAAGTTGGTTGCCTCCCGCTTGTCAGAGCCTCTCCGGAGCGCGTACAGGCTCAAAACGCACCAAACTAAAAATGGGGGTTTCAAAAGGAGAATGGTTGGGAGAGAAGTGTTAGCATCCTTGAAGTATGCGGACATTCTATCTTTCATATGCAAGCTCGGTAACCTACAGTTCCTTCTCCGAGCACTTTGATCTTCCTATAGCGGGCTTCGCCCTGAAGAGGAACCCCCATTGCTGACTTTGGTTTTCGTTTGACGGGAAGAAGGTTCAGCCGTGCCTTTAATGGGTGAGATAGCTCAGGTATACAGCTGCAAGCTGCGTTTCACTGATAGTATGGTCTTCAAGAGGTTTCGCCGTGCAAAACTGATGAATAAGAGGTGAGCTGCGACGGAGAATGGTCGAATAACGAAGAATGGGGTTCTGTACGATAAGTTTTCTTTCTCACAATACAGATATCCTTGGGCTACAAGAGACAGGGTAGAGACAGAAAGCAATCGGCAACGGGCGTGAGCAGTCTTTCCTTGCTATCCCCTCGTCTGTCTTGGTGAGACCCATTCCTCAGAAGTTCAGCACATTGCTAAAGGATTCGCAAAATTTTACACCAAATTGTACTGTTTTCAAGGTAGCCGGTAGACACGTGTTCAATGCAAAAGAGCCACATTGTTACCGTGCTGTACTGATCCCATGCTGTCGGCGGCGGCGTAGCATACACTGACCAGACCGTGTTTCCTACTGAGCACAAACGTTGTGTGTGTCGCCGTCGCCTCTCGACCACACTCTGCAAGACGTGAAACAAGCGGCAATTCTTCTTTTTTCGCCAGATGGGTTCTCGCCGAGCGAAGCGTGCCCACGGCCGCGTCCAAGCCTTCGTGGGGAAGCGCGTCCACGGGCAGGCAGGCGGCGTGACGAAGACTGCCCGTCGTCTAAATGCGCGCGCCCAACGCAAAGCGGCCATAGCCGCGACCGCGCGTGGCATTCGAGAATCTGCCGCCTCGCACGCGCCGGTACTAGTGGGCTTGGTGGCCGTCTCGAACGCGACGGACGACGAGCTCGCCACCCTGTGCTCTGTCATGCAAGCCACGGAGCGCGATAAGCATAGCCGAAAGTTTGAGACGCAGGTTGTGCGAAGGGAGGGCGCCACGGATAGGGAAGTTCTCATCTCGGCACTGGATATGGCGAAAGTGGCCGACATCGTCCTGTTCGTGTTTTCGGGAGCGGAGGATAGGCTCGACAACTTAGGCATTGATTTGGTGACTGCTTTGAGGGAGCAAGGGCTTCCCACGGTGTTTGCAGTGGCGATTGGTAAAGGGGCGGATGATCCCACGTTGAGGAAGCAGCGAGGGAGAGAGCTGGCGGCGGAGAGTGTTGGACAAGATCATGCGCTTCGTCCAATTTGTATCGAGTGCGGAGAGGGTGAGGCGGCGGAAAAGGGAAATAAGCTCGCGCTACGCAGGATTTTCGCAAAGACACCTAGGAACGTCAACTGGCGCTCGAGATATGGGTACATGCGTGTGGAAAGTGTTACGGCAGAACCAGGGGCTGAAGGTAACGAGGGGATACTAGTATTGTGCGGCTGGACGAGGGGACGCGGGTTTTCGGCGAACGAGCTAGTCCACATTACAGGTTTTGGGTCGTTTGTGGCGTCGAAGATAGTTGACGTCGCTTCGTCAAAGGAGCTGTCCGTACGGGTTGAGGGGGAGGCGGAACCCGTCGAGAGCGAAGCGGAGGTCAATGAAATGATGGGTGAGCAAACATGGCCGCCTGAGGTGGAAGATGTCAAGGAGGAGGACCCTGTTGATGAACTACTGGCCAAGTATGAGGAAGGGATCGATGATGACGATGATGCTGGTACGGCTGGTGCGGACGACAATATGTCTGGTGGTCATGATGCTGAGGACGATGCCATGGCAGATGACGATATGGACATTGACGAGGAGGAAGTCAAGAGGGTGAGAGAAGCAGCGAAAACCAACACTTTATTTCCCGACGAAGTTGATACGCCCATCAATCAAGCAGCTCGTATCAGGTTTGCCCGATACCGCGGACTCAAATCCTTCCGCACGGGAGAGTGGGATCCGAAGGAGCAGCTTCCTCCACAGTATGCCTCCCTGTTCCAGTTTCGCAATTTGGCCTCCACTCGAAAGAGCGTTCTCTCGAGAGCGAAGAAAGATGCAGAGGACGCGGCCTGCAATGAAGCCGTTAACATGGCCGGACCTGGGCGGAAAGTGTATATATATGTGCAAAACGTACCCGCCGAAACTATTCATGTGCTTTCATCCGTTCTACAAGGAGGGAAGCGAGCAATTATTGCATCCGGCATGCTGCGTCATGAAAACAGGAAAAGTGTCGTACACTTTGGAGTACGACGTGTGGATGTAGAGGATGCCGGTGATATCAAGGCGAAGACACACCTAGAGATGCACTGTGGTTTTGTCCGTTTTGATGGTAGACCGATGTTTTCAGAACACAATGCCAACTCAGACAAGCACAAGATGGAAAGGTACTTGAAACACGGGCGACACACAGTCGTGACATTTTACGGACCAGCGACATATGCTCCGGCACCTGGGTTGCTTTTCCATCCTGGTGGGTCTCTCATCGCTACGGGGACTGCACTTGGGGCGGATCCAGATAGAATCATACTGAAGCGGATCATTTTGACAGGGTATCCATTTAAGACACAAAAGCGACGGACAGTGGCGAAATTCATGTTCTTCAACCCCGAGGACGTGCGGTGGTTCAAACCTGTAGAGCTGTGGACCAAAATGGGACGGACGGGACACATTCTCGAGCCGCTAGGTACGCATGGGCACATGAAATGCATTTTTGACAATGTCATTCTCCATCACGACACGGTTTGTATGACTTTATACAAGCGAGTGTATCCGAAAGTTGTGCCTGCAGAGCAAAAATGCAAGTACATTTTGTAGACAGGTGTTCTTGAGCAAATCGCATCAAGTGTAAATTTTAAAAGATGCCTCCGTGACTTGATAGCGCTGTGCTTTTAACGAGGGTTGCCACCGACCAGCGTTCTTTGCTACTCTGAGCATTCCGTCAATGTCATTCGCAGCGCCGGTCTGCAAGTCGTGCATGTCGCAAACGGAATCCGAAATATCGGCCAAATCAGCGATGTCTTCATCAATGCCACAGCCCATCGGGCACGCAGAAATGACGGATAAGTTTGTGCCTGGTGCGATCAAGCTCCTCACGAAAGCGGACGGGTCCACTCCAAACACGGCCTTCAAAGAGTACATACACTCAATAACAACCAACTGCAGTGACTGTTCCCGAGCCATATCGCGGATCTTTTCTACGAGCCGCCTCTGAAAATCGAGCTTCCCGGAAGCGAACGCCGGGTCTTGCATCGTGTAAGGGTCGAGCGCGACACACGTCGCCGTCGCCGCGGCTGCAGCGCGCGACAGCACCGGGTGGATGTGTCTGTCATCGGGGTGCGCGTATCTGGAGCGCGATCGGGTGGACAGGAAGAGTGGAGTTTGAGTGGCGCTGGTGGTTCGCTTATTGGTCAGCGTCTTCACTATGTTGAGCAGCAGCGGGATGGCATCGCAGGCGTCCGTTGCATCGCGGACGAGCGTGAGGTGGCCGCCGCGTTGCAAGGCTTGCCCGTCGACGAGGAAGGAGAGCGGGGCTGCTTTCGCGCTCATGTGAAGCTTGGAGCGGGCGTTGGCGTTTGGCGCCCCGGGCTAGGTGGGAGAGTGTTAGGATGTTGGGACCCCCCTATTTTCCTTGCGCCGATAGAAGTGCTTGAGTCGCTTGCTCCGCTATAGAGGGAGAGAAGACGGGGATCAGAAGCTGCTGTAATTCATTCAAACGGATCAAGACCAGCCTGTACTGTAGCACTTGTGTGTCATGAGACTCTATCCTACCGTTGTCCTCATATGCGATCACTTTTCGAGTTATTATTTCTCTAGACTGGCGCTTTCTCGACAAGAGGGAGAACGATAACCTCGCCACCTTACTTGACGTGTGCCTTATGGAATATAAAAGAGATTAATGAGAACTACATGTCCTTCTCTTTCGTTTCTAGAAATGTCTGGAAAAGAACTAGATTAGAGCTAAGTCGCGAGTAAAATAAAATAACTCCGAAACCAAAAACCCAAGTTTAAAAGAGCAACTGGGTACTTAATCTGCATTGTATTCTGAATTTTTTTTCATGCAGTCAAAATTGCTACCCCAGTGCCCTGCAAGGTGTTATTGCCGAGGACAATGACGTTCAGTAAATGTTGCCCAAATCGACATTCCAAGTTCGCAATTTGATGTATATGTTTTTGTTAAAAATGGCTGTTCTCAGATGGGGAGTGGCCCTGGTCGGATAGACACTTGCGGGTACAGTGTCTTTTCATGATCAAGATATTTCGCAAACGGTCTTGTTTATAACTCTTTAATACTTCGTATGTGTCATGGTTTTACTCATCGAGAGGGACGCAAGAGGCTGTCGATGCGATAGCGGAGGAAGCTGTGGGGTAAGGACTGTGACTAGGGGGGCGCCGGATTCGGGGTTGGCCGGTGAAGGTGAAAGGCAGCGCGGGGAGGTCTGCCTATTTGTCGGTTTGCCCTCACTGTCGCCTTAGACCGGGCTGGCTAAAAGCGAAAATGTTTATGGTTTCGCAGATCTTATCCGCGTACTTGATTCCTATTGGTCAATTTTAGATTTTTCAAAAAAACATGCAATACGTCGTTTACATTGAGTGCGAGCCGCACCATTGTATCTCTGCGGCTTCTGTAGCTCAGTTGGTTAGAGCGCTAGCTTCACATGCTAGAGGTCTCGAGTTCGACCCTCGACAGAAGTAAGAAAATTTTGCTGCAGAAATTCTCTACGTGTGCACGTAACTTTTGGTACCTTCGTAGTTTCTGCAGCAGAGTTGCTGCGGCAGAGAGTAATTTATGGGGGGAGGCGTGCATTGGCCCGCTCCACTGCCGCCTCCGCAACGCTCACAACGCTCATCACCGGTAAAGGCCACCCCACCTCACGGAAATTTGCGGCCCCGCCTCTGCCAGCCACCATCGCTCTATTGCCCGCGCAAATCAAGCCGCGCCCGCTTCTCTCACACCGTTCCCCACATCCCGTACTTCCGCCGTCCAACTTTCCATCATGGATTTGCGAAAGCTCATTGCAGATTTTTTGACAAAGATGTACGTGACCCCGGTCGCTCCCCCGCTGCAACATCTACACCCGCCTCGCTCAATCTGACTCAATCTTTATATCCTCCCATCATCACAGCGAGCACGCCCTGCACACACCGTACGACTTCACACGCGCCCAAAAGAACTACAAGGACATCATCAATGCCCTCCACGCAATCGAGGCCAGTACGGAGGAGCGTGACATGCTCAACGTCAGCGACAAGGACTTTGTCACCCGCGCGTCCAAGACTGACACCCAAACCCGTGGTGTCACTCTCGAAGAACTCCACCAACGAGCAGTTTGGCACAAATCAAATGTGGACGCCGAGTTTCAGAAGATTGACACGGCTGCCTCTATCGCGAAAGCTCAGTATAACACATCCAACTGAACCCCGCCTGTGTTGCAACGCCGTTTATGTATGAGACGACTGAAACTACGTCTTGATACAGATCAATTGCCATCCTAGCAGGCCGCTTATTCACCTCATGCTGCATACGGAGCACTTTACTTGTTTGGCCCCGCGCACGCCTTCCCACTCCAATTAATCCGCGCTTCACTCGCAGTGCGAGAGCATACGAAGTGAATCAACAGTTTCTCAAAAGCGTTGGGCACCGCCTCACCGCTTTCGCTTACCTCGATATTGACTGAGGTCAGGTCCCCTCGTGGAACCATGGCACCCAGTCAATCTGGCACTTAGATGTGCTGCTTGCGTTGCCGGATATGCGCGATGCGCTTCCAAGCTTCTTCAAGCAGATCCACATCTTGCTGCGAGTTGAGCGGTCGAATTGGTAAATTCTGCTCATTGCGCTCCGGATACCGATGCTCAAACTTAGGCGGGGGCCTCGCCCATCGCGGCAGTGGCAAGCCCTTCTGCGCCCACTTCTCCGGCTTGAGCAGCGCCCTCAACCCGAGTTTGTTATACCAAGCCAGCGTGATCTTCCCCCCCGCCGCGAGCACCTGCGACGCGGCCTCCGGTTCACATTCCGTTACCTGCACATCGATCTTCTCCTGAAAGTGCCCCCCTCTCACCAGCACCACGCCGTCCTTAATCCTGCCCACGCACCCCGTTTTCCACAGGTCGCGGATCGTGATCGTCTTCCCCGTCTCGATGCGTCCGATGTCAATGTAGTGCTGAATTCGCCCCAGCGTCACCAGCGCCAGCTTCCTCTCGAACGGGTCGAAGTACCGCCTCTTCGGCAGCCGCTTCTGCAATGGCGTCTGCCCGCCCTCAAACCCTAGCCGCACCGAGTTTCTCGCGCGCTGTCCCTTCTGTCCGCGCCCGGAAGTCTTCCCGCACCCCGAGCCGCGCCCGCGGCCCACCCGCACCTCCTTCTTCTTCGCACCGTCGTTGTCCCGGATGTTGTCCAGCCGAAGCTTGTCCTTGAAGTGTATCTGCGGGGCGTTTAAGTATGCGATCCGCGGCGCGCGCACTGAAGGCGGAGCCGCCGACGTCTCGGTCGCCGCCGTCTCGGTCGCCGCCGTCGAGAGCTGGCGCAGACCCAGCCGGGATGCCGCGCCGTAACTCCGCCAGCCCCGAGCAAAGAGGGATATCATGCCGGTGAGGCGCAGGGAGGAGACTTGTCCCGGGCTCGTGTGGTGTCCCGCTTACGGTTTCGCGTCTACCGTAGAAGGTGACGACGCGCAGATCGATGCCCGGTGCAGAAACTGCGCCGCATGTCCCAGTACACGAGTAAACTTTACTGTATGAACAAATGTTGTGTACAGTACTCGGATTCAATAAAAATGGACGTTTTGGAAAATTGCCTCTCGCCATCTCTTTTTGTAGTCTGCCTGTCCGATCAAACAGAATTCGTTTGTTACTCGCTGATCTGCCCCATCCCTGCCAATGTATCCCTGACTGAAAGCGACAAGCTCATCGGTCGCCGCAGAACAGCTTCAGTCAAGCATGCCTCCCAGAATATGGATGCCAAACTTCCCCTTGCGACTCAAGTTGAAAGCGCCGCCGCAAGCGCACGTCAAAATGCCTCAGGTACGCCTCCTAGCAGCGAAAACCGTACTTCGCGCCTCACCTCTCCACCACGTATCCATCTAACGCAACCGCAACTCCCGACGTCCGCCCTCCCGCTTCCCTTACCCTCAACACAAAGCCGGGGACTGAAGGCACGTTCAAGACGAAGGAGCTCGTCTTCGAAACCGTCCCCCAAATGACCAAGCTCGAGATCAAGCAATTCCTGCGAGCAGCGTACGGCATCGACGTCAACAATGTGCACTCCCTCGTCGTCATGGGCAAGCGCAAAAACGAACACACGCGCATGCCGGTGCAAGAGAAGGACTTTAAAAGGTTTTACGTCAAGCTAAAGTCCGACGTTGAGCTGCCCAACGTCCCAAAACCGCTCGACAAAGTCAACCAAGCCACCCCCTAACCAAGCGCAGCAGTACCCTACTCAGCCTCCTTCTTTGTGAGATCGCGCAGCGCGCTGGCCACGTCCTTGAACCGATAAACAAAGCCGTTCTCCTGCATCCTCGTCGACACCACGCGCTGCCCTTTCAAGATCAGCTCGGCCGCTTCGTTCCCAAGCAGCGCGCGCACTGCTTGCTTCGGCACGGGCAGCCAGCTCGGCCGGCCCAGTGCCTTGCCCAGCTCTGTACAAAACTCGCCCAGCGTCACCGGCGCTGGCGCCGTCGCGTTGTACACCCCGCGCCACCTGTCGTCCACGCTTGCGTGCAAGATTAGCCTCACCACGTCGTCAATGTGCACCCACGAGAACCACTGCGCGCCAGACCCGGGCGGTCCGCCGAGAAAGTAGCGAAACGCCATGCTCATCTTGTCCAGCGCGCCGCCGTCCCTCGCCAGCACGACACCCATGCGCAGCACTACCGTACGCGAGGCGGGGCCGTTCTCCAGCGCGGCCAGCTCCCACGCGTGTGCCAGGCGGGCGAGAAAGTCGCCGCCCTGCTTGTTGCGCTCGTCAAACGTGTCCGTCTCGCTCGTGCCGTAGTAGCCGACGGCCGACGCGTTGATGAGCACGGCGCGCGCGGCGGGGTCGGCCAGGGCGGCGGCGATGGCGCGGGTGCCGCACACGCGCGAGTCCCACAGCGCGCGCTTGCGGGCCGGGGTCCACCGGCCATCCTCCACCGGCTCGCCGGCCAGGTTGATGACGACGTCCGCGGCGCGCAGCGCGCGCGCCGCGGACGCGGACAGCGTCCCCTCCGCAGCGTCGTAGCGCGTGACGGACACGGGCGGCAGCGAGCGGTCGACGAAGAGAGACCGGGCCGCCGGCGGGTCGCGCGCAAACACGTGGACGGACGCGCGCGAGCACCGCAGACTCCAGACCAGGCGGCGCCCGATCAGCCCCGTCGCGCCAGTGATGACGACCGTCTGCGTCGAGAGCGAGCGCAGCGTGTGCACGTCGGAGGGGGAGAGCGGCAGCGTGGACGCCGTGGAGGTGATTAGATAGGCGTGGCGGCGGCAGAGCGGGGCGCGCGGGCGCCCGCGGCGGAGCGGGTGCGCGAGGGGCGTGTGCGGGAGGGGCGTGTGCGGGAGGACGAAGGAGAGCGGGACGAAGGAGAGCGGGACGAAGGAGAGCGGAGAGGGCGGCATCGCTGGTTTTGTTTGCGCCGCGGAGATGTGGGTTGAGGAGGGTCTAGCGGTGGCGAGGAAGGTGGGGTTTCATGGGGCGGGTTGTTAATGTGGAGGAGGAGTTGCGGTCGATGGCGAGAGACTGGACGGCGAGAGACTGGACGGATGCACACCTTCCCTCTCAAGGCAGATGATGCAGACAGGGAAGAAGCGATAGCGAAGGTGGCGCAGTGGAGATGAAGGGAATGCGAGCGGTGTAGAAAAGTTCCCAAAGTTTTACCAGGGCAGTTAACTGCCTCTCATACCTGACCCCCCTAATCCTTAAATCTTACAGCAAGCGGGGTGTAAAGCGGTGAGAAAGATACTGTATTGTGGGATCATAAGTGACACGTGGGGCACTGAACCAGCTCCAGTAACCCTAGCTCCAGTGATCCGATTCGGCATCAGCTCTGACGAAATGGGGCGAATCCCGTCGGCGTCGCCATGCCCGCGCCCATGCGCGTCCCATTGGCGCAATGCGCTCGCCCGCGGCGCCCTCCTTGCCGCGTGTAGCATCGCAAACCCGCTCGCCGTGTCTTGACCTCTCGCACCCCCCCCCCAACGCCCCCTTCCCCGCAGCCTTCGCTCAGCGGCCCCGCTTCTTCTCCGACGCCGACAGCGATCATCCCCGCCGCCGCACCCCCGACATGAAGTCCGTCCTTTCGACAGAGTATATCGATGTCCCGGAAGGAGGTACGTCGCCGCACTTGCCCCCCCTTCCCCCCGCCCCGCGCCGCCTCTTTGCACTTGGAATCATCGTACGTACGAAAAGAAACACCTCTAACCATTCCTGTCTGCCCGTTGTAATCGCCCCGCGTGATGTCACGATTATCCTCAACTAATTGCGTCGTTTCCAGTGGAGGTGACTCTCAAAGCCCGCAAGGTAACCGTCACGGGCCCGCGCGGCACCCTAGAGCGCACGGTCAAGCCGTGCATGGACGTGAGGCGCGTGGAAGATGGCAAGATCCGCGTGGATGTGTGGCACGGCTCACGCAAAGAAACGGCCAAGATCAACACCATTTGCTCCATGATTGAAAACATGATCACCGGCACCACCGTCGGCTTCCGATACAAGCTCCGCTTTGTGTATGCCCATTTCCCCATTAACGTCACGTGCGCCGACGACAAGAAGTCATGCGAGATCCGCAACTTTCTCGGCGAGAAGCGCATCCGTCGCGTCAAAATGGATGGCGATGTCGTGTGCTATCGCTCTACTGACATCAAGGACGAACTCGTCGTCGAGGGCTCCGATATTGAGCTCGTGTCGCAGTGCGCTGCGATGGTCCATCACGTCTGTTTGGTGAAGAGGAAGGATATCAGAAAGTTTCTCGATGGCATCTACGTCTCGGATAAGGGCCATATCGTGCAAGCGGAATAGGGGGCCGTTCGTGTGTTCCGCGCCGGCGCCACTCTATCTCGGGCGGCTTGTTATTTGGACGCCTGCTGATGATGACTAGATCAATGCGCTGTAGCGCCATTCTGCGCTGCCCACGAATATTGATCTACTGTCCCGCTTTCATTGATAAACACTCGAGCAAAGCAAGCATTTTGTGTAATCTTATTACATGAGCGCCGCGTTAATGTGCTGATAATTTTCTCCTTTCCCTCTTTGGCCGGGCGTTTTTTGGCAGGTACTCTATCCAGCCGTGTGCTGCTTTGTAGCATCTGCGATGGTGAAAGCGGTTTGTAGTTGCAGCGTCAATTCCCGGTCGCTGAATACTGTTGCGAAAATCGTGAAAGGGCACACATGCATTTGCTAGTAAGAAAAGATCGGATCACCGCTGTGTGGCATCCCTAAGCAATTACCACGGGGCACACACATCCTCGAGTATAGCAGGGGGCTGCGCGCAGCGAGAGGGAGGTCATAAACTGTACCGTACCCTCGTTGACAATGCGTTCCTGTTTACAGTAAGACTGCAGTAGAAAAAACGTCCCCACCAACAGCCGAGCTCAGTGTTGTCCTTCTCACAGGAACCGGACAGCTTTGTAATCCGTTATGACATTCCTTTGTGGCTGTTGTTCCGATTCCTGTAGTCAATACTTTCTCGTCGCTCTCTTGTTATTTTCACCGCAGTCACATATTATACTGTGCAAACTGCCGTAGAGATGATCGCTCAGGACGAGGTAGTGCACCGCAGGACTTGTGCCGAGGACCGTGAGAATGCCGTCTTTTCAACTGGCGTGTATTAAAAGATCTCCACAATTCCCCGTCAGTCTAGGCCGCTTGGCTGAAGTCATACTCGCATACTAGTGACTCCTTGCAGTAGTGCCCTTGGAAACGTTTGCTTGCACCCCGTTGTATCCGCTATTCTGCCTGTTCCACACGTTCTACACAGGTTTGAGGTGGATGATAGGCCGCTTGGCTGAAAGTCATCCTCGCATACTAGAGTGACTCCTTGCAGTAGTGACCAAACCCATTTCTTTATTAAAACACGAGTCTATCGATCGAATTCAAAAGGCTTATTTAGAGACGCCTCGTTGTCCTAAATTCGAAGCCCTATCGATCGGTAGTCAAATCCCCGAGCCGATTGCAAGCCGACCTCCTCATCTCGACCTCTCGGTATACATCTCTTCCCCGACTCTAAAACCCCGGAAAGTTATGTGCAGTGCATCGTGCGCCTCTCAACTCACAAACGGGCTAGGCAGGAAAGCAGCAAGGAATCCCGTCCTATTCCGGTCGGCAGTAGGGCCCGCAGATTTTTTATTCCCCTCTCGCTGTGGTCAAGAAACGTCCCGTTGAGATATTTCCCAGATATGCCCCAACCAATCACGCCCGCCCTGCCTCGCCCTGGCGGCGCTTTGCCCTCAAGATTCTTCATCCCCTCCCTGTTCCCTCCCCGCCTTGCACGACCGCCTTCTTCCGCACCGCACCGCCGCGCACGCCGCCATGGCCTTCATGCACGCCGTCGCCTGCACGCACGTCCGCGCGGGGTCTCCGCGCTCCGAGCGCCGGCCGCGGCGCCGCCTTCCTGCGGCTGGCGCTGTCGGCCGCGGCGTGCGCGCTGCTGCCGCGCGGCGCCGCGCGCGCGGGGCAGCCCGTCGTCGGCAGAGAGCGCGAGTGGGGCCCGCACGAGCTGTGCTCCTGCTGCGGCGGCTCGGGGCGGCAGACGTGCGACATGTGCGCCGGCACGGCCGTGCTGACCCTCGATGACAGCGTCGTGCACAGCGAGCACGAGTGCCCGAACTGCATGGGCAAGGGCGACGTGCGCTGCCCGGCCTGCATTGGACTGGGGCTCGCGGATATCAAGGGCATTTTGAGGGACGGTACGTATGCAGATGCTTTGTGGCGAGGGCGAGGAACGGCGGGAGTGATACTGAACCATTTTTGCGCGTTTTCGATGCGCTGTGAATTTTCGGCGGTAGGGGCGAAAGACGGGACGTTGCGCATGTTGAGGAATGGGAGCTACGAGATTTTGGACTGCTCCGCCTTTCCGGCGTGCGATCTTCACGGCGGTCCCAAGGTCAATCAGATGTAGACATGGGGTTGCGGGGCGAAAGTGGGTTGGCGAAGCGGACAGGGGGTTCGTAGTTCTTGACGCTAGAGGGTTCATACTTTTTATATTTTTATAGCAAACTAGTACCGTAGAACGTGTGAAATCGTTTTTGATGCGTCTCAACACGCCGCGGTTGGCGTGCAGGGTCGTGGGGGTTTATCGTCGTGCGACCAAAACTGTAACATAGAATACACATTTCATGCGATGCGCCGGTTGACGGTCATCCCTTCCTTACTCGTCGCTCATAATCTCATCAAACGTGCATCCGACGGATCCATGGATGTACCGCTCCACGAGGCGCCGTGAGGACGCGTTGAAACCCTCCACTTTCTTATCGTGATACCTACTCTGATTGAGCTGCTTGCGAACCTTGGTTGCTAGCACTTTACCCAGCTCGACGCCCCACTGGTCAAAGCTGTTGATATCCCAGATGAATCCCTGCACGGCCGTGCGGTGCTCGAAGATCGACAGCAACTGCCCGCACGTGTACGAGTTGAGCACGGGCATCAGCAGCGAGAGCGACGGGCGGTTGCCGGTGAACGTAACGTGCGGAATCAAAGCCTCGTCGCGGCCCTCCGCGCGGCACTCCTCGGCCGTCTTGCCGCTCGCCAAAGCGTCCGGTTGCGCGAAGAAGTTAGACATGAGCTCGTCGTGGTTGCTGACCGGCTCACCGTCCTGGCACGAGGGCGTCTGCGACTCGACAAAGCCGATGAAGGTGCACGGCACGACCTGCCCCATATGCAGCAGCTGGAAGAAGCTGTGCTGGCCGAGCGTGCCAGGCTCGCCAAAGTCGACCTCACCGACCTCGAAGTCGAGATCGACGCCGTGGCGCGAGACGTGCTTGCCGTTGCTCTCCATGTCGACCTGCTGGATGTGGGCCGGGAACTTGTTGAGGGCCTCCGTGTACGGGTGCATGGCGCGCGACTTGTAGCCCATGAAGCTCATGTTCCACACGCCGAGCAGGCCCATGAGGACGGGGATGTTCCTTCTCAATGGCATGTTGACGAGATGCTTGTCGATGCTCCTGGCACCTCGCAAAAACTTTTCAAAAACCTCGTGGCCGTACATCAAGCTCAGTGGCACGGCGCCCACAGCCGAGCAGACAGAGTACCGGCCGCCAACCCAGTCCCAGAAGGGGAAGACGTTTTTGGTGTCAATGCCAAACTCTTTCGTCTTCTCAAGGTTTGTCGAGCATGCAATCATATGTTGATTGACGACGGCCGGATCGTTGCCCATGGCGTCCCACAACCAACTGCGCATGGTCTTGGCATTGACAAGGGTCTCGCGGGTGGTGAAGGTCTTGCTGACGATGATGATCATGGTCTCCTCCGGGTCCAGTCCATCACAGGCCCTCCTAACATCGACGGGGTCTACGTTGGCGAGAAATTGGAGGGTGTACCCAGCCTTGGGCCCCGCGGCCGCAGCCTCGGCATCGGTCTTGAGCGCTTCATACACAAAGTCCGGTCCTAAGTAACTGCCACCAATACCAACGGCGATAAAGTTCTTGATCCTCTTCCCCGTGGCGCCCAAAAACTGGCCCTTCCTCACCTGGTCCGAAAACTTGTTAATCCTGCCCAGCACCTCATGGACCTTATCGACGACATTTTCGCCATCCAGCATGACCTGTTCGCCCTTCCTAGCCCTGAGGGCGGTGTGCAAGACGGCCCTTCCCTCGGTGGTATTAATCTTGTCCCCGGAGACCATCTGGTGGATCCTGTCCTTCAAGCCGATGGCGTCGGCCAGTTTGAGCAGCAGGTCGATGGTCTCCTTGGTGACGCGCTGGCGCGAGTAGTCAAGGATGATGCCGTCGTACTCGGTGGCCAGGGCGAGCACGCGGTCGTCGTCCTGCATGAGGTCGCGCAGGTGCGTGGCGTCGATGACGGCCTCCTTGTGGCGGCGCAGGGCGTCCCATTCCGGGCGCGCCGACACGAGCGGCGGCGCGGCGGCCTTGTGCTTGCGCGGGTCGGGCCCCGGCACGGGCGGCGT